GGCCATCTAGCTCAAAAAACAACAAAGCACACATGGAAGAAGCACACCAGCCTGTGTGATCATGAGGTATCGGAGGGATCAGGTATCAAGTATCGAAGAACAAAAAAAATCCTATCATTGTGCATGAGGGGGGAGTGCAGATTGGGGACTCAAAGCCCATCTGTAAGCAACTGGACAACCCCCTTACAGAAGGGTTATGGAGAGGAGACAAGCCAGTCAGGGTGCAGTGTAGCAACTATGAAACATACAACTTTCCTCTGGTTCGTAAATGTTTCCTTCCACCCCCACCCACCCCCACTATAACGATCCCAATTCTACCTTACAAATCAGACTAGACCAGAGGATGTACACTGGTACAGATAGAACTGGAAACACAGGGAATCCACGATAGATGAACCCTTCAGGACCAGTGGTGAGAGTAGCTATACTGGGATGGTGGTGGGAAGGTGGGGTAGAAAGGTGGAAACAATTACAAGGATCTACATATAACCCCCTCTCTGGGGGGACAGACAATAGAAAAGAGGGTGCAGGGAGACATCGGGCAGTGTAAGAGATGACAAAATTTATAAATTATCAAGGGTTCATGAGGGAGGGGGTCCAGGAGGGAGGGAAAAAATGAGCTGGTACCAAGAGCTCAAGTAGAAAGTAAATATTTGAGAATGATAAGGGCAATAAATGTACAAATGTAGTTAAAAACCAACACTGGGGGAGGGAACCATATTAGAGCTTAAATTCTGAGCACCCAGTTTGTACAAGGTTATGAATGACAGTGAGCCCAAGATCCATGTTCAGGGCCCCAATGTGGATGAAGCCACCAGTGAATCTCTCTGACCATTGACCAGCCTTGCTATCAGATAGTGCACTGGAAGGTGGACTAGCGTCAATTTAGTTACGTTAAACTTCAACACCTTATTTGTTCTCCCTTTTGACCCACTTAAAATTTGTTCTAGTTTTTATTATTTTGTATTTTTTCAAATGAAACTTCTTTTTAGTTTGTTCTTGCTTTGGTTTGGGAGTGTTTTTTAGGGGGGGGTGCTTTTCTCTGTGAAATCCAGAAATAAATCTATGGAGGCGATAACTAGATTAGTAGTTTCTTGGGCTTATGACAGGAAAGGCTGAGGGAAAATGGACTAAGAGAAACAAATACAAGAAGAAAAAGTTCTAAAATTGCCTGTGATCGTGATTGCCCAACTCTTTTTAATATGTGTGAACCACTGAATTGTATGACATGAAAACATCCATGCCAAGGCCCCCCCAAAAAAGATTATCTTTAGTCATAAGATGACTAACTCCAATCAATGGACTCAAATTCCTTTTCTTTAGCTCATTCCAAAAGCGTGTCTTTGCTAATGTGCCCTTTGCCATGTGTGCATATTACATTGCGAGACCTGAAGCCCAAACCTTCAGAAACCAGTATCATGGGAAAAATATATAAATATATATTGCCCACAAGAGCCTTAGTCCTAAAAGCCAAAGATTATGCCAGCACTGTTTGTCTTGTTTTTGTAAATAGTGCTATTGGCATAGACTTGACCTGGCACACAACTTAATGGTTCGATCATATTAAGGTGTGTGCAATTATCACCACAGCAATCAACTTCAGGGCAGTTTCTTCTCATAATTGTTCTGGTAGCATCTCAGCACCATTTAATGAGGTAAAAGGAAGTCCCCTTTATTGGGTGTGAAGCTCTTTGCTGGTCATTTCACTTACTATTCACCACAAACGTGTCTGAAACCTTGGCGGGAAACGGGGGCCGAGCCGAGGCGGCCCACAGGTGAGGTCCCGAAGGCAGCGCACTTCGAGAGCGAGCGGAGCCTGGATCTGAACCCGAGTTCTAGAGCTTTCGTCACCTCAGCGATGGAAACCGCAACTCAGCAACCTACAAGGCCCAGATTTTCCCTACCTCTGAAAGGAAGCCCTGACCCAAGGGGCCTCGGCCTCCAGCGGCGAAGGGACCAGGGGTGACACAGGAGGACCCCTCCTTGCCCTCTCTCATCTCGTCTACTCAAACTAGCCCGGTATGCCCCACCTCCCTCGCCCCACAGGCACGCGCGGAGGCTCCGCTCGGTTCCGTGGACAGTCACGTCACCCCCAGGGTCCCCTCCCTCCTAGGCCAGTCCGGCCGTCTCTGGGGACGTCCAGCTGAATAAAATCGCCAGGCCGCACGACACAGGGCGATTTCTGCGGTCGGGGAGGTGAATGCAGGAGGACACAGGGAAGCAGGGGCTGCGAGGACCCGCGGGGCCCGGGTCTGAGCACTAACCGGGACGCCCACCTCAGCCACGCCAGCTTCGCCCATGGTCGCCACCGCCCGCTACTGCGCCTGCGCGGTGCCTGCCTCACGCCGGAAAGCGCGGGAACGTCGCGGTGGAGCGTCGGGTACGGAGGGCCGCGAGGCTCAAACGTGGGCGCTTGCCGGGCCAGGGGATGCGGGAGATCTGGTTTCGGTCTTGTAGCTTATTCCGGGTTTTAACCATGCCAACTGCAAGGCAGAAGCGAGACGCTGGCGTAAACGTCCATGAACAGAAATGGAATCGCTAGCGAGGGACGCCGAGGGGAGAGCTGGACACCAACACCGTGTTTCCAGATCAATCCTGCTGTGTTCCTGTTCTCTAACCAGTGTAATCGCTCTGGCAAG